TGCTGCAGTATTTATGCAGGTGAAGTATAAGGCAGAGCTGCACAGCAAAAGCATTGGAAGGACTGTGGACGGGGACTGACCTGGCTTTGAAACTTGTGGCTACATAACTTTTGCCAAAGCTTTAACCTCTCTGGACCTTATCGTTGTTAATAAAAATTAACCAAAACTTGGAAATTAAAACATTATATAGCATGTGGGTCATATTGGGTCACTGTTTAATAATCCGATCCAAGGATTATTTAATTCTCTTGGGTTTCTCTGTGTTTAACTTTTATTATTTATTATTTGATTAGAGCCCTGACTCTGAAGTTGAATGTTACTCTATAGATTTCTGCCTGGTAGAAAAGATAATTCTTTAATTGCCTTAAAGAATACTAACCAGCTAAGTATCTAACCTAGTAATCCTATTCTATATTATTTTTTTAAAAAATGCCTATAAATAGCCCGTTTCTCAAAATATTTTATTTTAACCAGTTTTGCCATCTTACTGGTTCCCTCATTAATTAATGATTGAAATAAAACATCCGATATGTGTTATTCTATATTTGTATAAGTCACATTTTTGATTTTTTGAACATTTCTAAAATGTGGATAATTCTATTTTGAAAGTTGGGATGATTGAAGGTAATATATGTGAAAGGCCTATGTGCTTCTCTAGCACATATTAGGACCTTGATATATAATAACTTGAAGATGCCAAATGCTTCATATCCTGTGTACTATGTTATTTTTAGAATTTATACTAACTTTTTCAAATTTTTCCTGTAGCATTTTGTCACATTGTTCCGTTATAGCCCTGGTTGTGTTCAAATTATTTCCGAGGGGTCATAGATATGCCTTGTAAGCTTATTTTAATACTTGTACCATCGAAGAAATACACTGCTGATAATATATTTTGAATTTGTAGGCAGGAAAATGGTTTTTAACATTCTTCTTAATGGACTTAACTCTTGATTAATGGAACTTTGTAACCAGGGTTCTAGCAGATCAGACAACTGGATGTGGAAATATTCTGCTTTAGCCACGTCTCTCATCTAGCTTGATGTCTGAATGCTTCTTTGACAGCACAGAAAATCACACTGTACCAGCTAGCCCTTGTCAAGGACAGTGCCTTCTGGAAAGGGAGAGGAGTTCACAGCGCCACCTAGTGGACAATCCCCTCTTCCCAAACCGCATCTCTGGGGAGCTGAAGCGTTCCCCAGCACTATTGATCAGAACGGAGCAGGAGCCAATTTAAATCATTGCCAAATGTTAACATTTAAATGACTTACGAACCAAGGATGTCGTTTTTATCTGGCATCAGAGAAGATAGGGGCATAATGGAAAGGACTGTAAACTGGTAACTGGACGACTGTGGAATGTTCCGTGTTTACATTGTCCTCATTTATAAAATGATGATGGGGATCTAGGTGATCTCAAAAGCACCTCTGAGCTCTAAAATTCTAATAGAGCTAAATCAATGACACTAGAAAACAAATATGGTGCAACAGAATTGCACTGCTAGCAAAAGGAACATATGCCATATTAAAATGTTCTTACTGGGCGTTTTTGCTGGCTTATCACTGTGTTTATGGAATTCATTCTCACTGCATTTCTGATTAAAGTGGGACAGATGGTGAAGGTTTTAAGTAATGTGTTCATTACCAGATCTCATACCACTAATGGCTATTTACTGGAGCAGTGGCTTGTTCAAGTGAGTAGAAAATGAATCTTTCTCCAAGGGGTACCACTAGCAGGGTGGTATTTATCAACCTTTGTTGTGGATATTCATTTTTAATTTTCATTTCCTTGTTGAACTCATGTCTTTTTCCTACTAATACAAAAGTCTCAGTACCCCCTCCCCTCACTCTGATACACACCCCCCACCTTGGAAACCCCTCATCACAGCCTGTATCCTCAGTCTCTCCTTAAACCAAGACAATGCTGCCCAACTTCACTTCTAATAGTTTCATTTATTTACTTGTTTTCCAAATATAAAGTATCTTTAAACTAAAAATGTTTAAAAAATAAAACAAAACAACTTTTGCTCATTGCTCTTCCATTCCATTCCTATCTACCTCTGCCTCCTAGACATTCTGATAGGACGTGCACCTTAGGAAGCCATAGAGAATAAAACCTACTGGACTACATAGAGTATTCTGGAAGGTTACTGCAAGGCCTTGCTGAACCCTGGGCATCTTGTTCACTCACTCTGTCACAGAGTCCTAGAGACAGCCCGCTGTTATGGGTCAATATCAAGATAAATGCTAAATCATCACTCCTTGAAAATATCTGCTAGTATCTAAGCTACTTAACTTTTTTCCAGGGGACATACACTACCTTCAGTGGGGACGTCAGCATTCCTTAGACCCCTCTCTAAGGAGAATGAATGATGGCAGATCAGGAACATTCCTTGAGTTCCACACAACCCAGACATACTACATTGTAATCTCCATGGAGAGATTACCTCTGATTCATTCACAGATAGACAGCAAGCCACTAACTCTGCCTGGTACATGATAGGTACTCAAATATTCATTGAATAAATAGTAGAGTGAATATATCCCAAATTTCACGTCTGGGACAGATTTCCTGGGGTTTCTAGGAAATAGAAATTATATTCCACTGTTGTTTGTTAATTTTCAGGGACTGACAGCTAGCCACTAAACCTGACCCGGTGTTGCTGACTTGCAGGTGATCGCAAGTCTAAATTCGAATGTCACTGGTTAATCGAGTTGATTGGTTAAACAACCTATTTGCATTCCAGAATTGTCCTTCTTTCCTAATACAAACATTCTTTATGCCATCATAGTTTATTAAACTATTTATTACATGACAAATATTCTAACACTACAAAGTATTCATCCAAAGATTACAGTTTGTCCAAAACATTATAATTATAAATTGTCACACATGGACAAACCAGCTGCTTGAGGACATCTAGCACAGAGATTTGGCTGGTGTATAACACTCAGTTACCCACTGGACCCCACAGATGTTGCTGTATATTATTATTAGTAGATTCAGTTAGTTTAGGCTTATTTAATTTTCATTATTTCCTCATAGTACCTTCATTAAGATTACAAATTCAGCCAAATACACAGTGTTATAAATTAAATTCTTGGGAAATATTTAAAATTTAATCAAAGTTCCTTTGGCAAGAAACATGACTATTATGAAATGTGATGCTTTTGAAGTGACATTACTAGAATAGCATCAACACAGGCAGACTCATGAACTAAGTCTGAGAAGAACAGAGGCAAATCAGGGAATTAATAAATAAAAAAATGTATTAGAAAATGTTCACTAGAAGCCAAAGCCTATATTCTTATCTACCCCCAATTCAGTTTCAGAGATGCCAATTTTCTGTTAGTTTGTTTTGCTATTAAAAAAACAGTATATCTTTTTTTTTTTAAAGTATATCTTGGTTTGTCTGAATCCTAAATTTTAAGGCATGCATAATTAAATTTCTATGCTCATCTTTTGTATATATTTGGAGCACCAGCTACTTAAAGGAAGACAGGAAGAAACTTTTAATAATTTTTTGTTCTGTAATTACTTTCCCTAAATCTCTTTTGAAAGGTCCAATTTCTTTTCTTAATGTGAACTCTATCTGTCCTAGTGCAGCTATAGGGTTTTACAAACCTAAAGTGGACACGCGTAGCCAATAACAGACAGTTGGCTGACTCTAACATAAAAATGCTATGACTACAGGGAAGCGCTATATTATTACTAGTTATAGGTGGACTTTGTGATCTTTTCCATTGTTCCCATTCACAGCCTCGCCTGGTCCCCCTTTCTGAGTCATACATTTACTAGAAGGAGAACGTGACAGATAATGACAATGGCAATTTTTGTGGAGAGGTAAATCACTAACAGTAAAGATCACATTAAATGTATAGGGAAGAAACTAACATCTTTGAGTACTTGTCAAAGTCTTAGTATTTGCAAAGAGTACTTCTAATTAATGTTTTTGTTTTTGTTTTAATTCCAAGAAGAAATCCTTTTGATTCTCTTGTCACTTACCTTTTCCATTCTCTGTACAAGGTTCTCCAAAGCTGTAATTTGATTATGTTTTTGTTCAAGTTTTTCAGCAACTTCATTCAGATTTTCAAGCTGTTCTTTCAATTTCTGTTCTTTTTCAAGTTTGTTTACCTTTGGTCAGAAAAACGGTTGTCAGACTATTGGTTTATTAAACCTATACAGGTATTATCTCCCACTATAATTTTCTGAGTAGCCAAAAAAAAAATTTTCATAATTAACATTTGTTTAAATTTCCTTTTTGAATCTAGTTTTTCCTTCAAAATAAACCTGATGGTCCAAAACACCACCAAAACAATGGAAAATTAATAATATACAAATGTTATTTCTAGAATGTTTACATTTGTTACCGTAAAGCATACTATCTGAACTGGTATGAGAAAGAGAAATGCTAATTTAAGAAAAGTAAAACTTTTGACTTTTTCTCAACAAAACTTACATGAAACAAAAATCAAATCTATGCGTTCAACTAAAAAGAGTGTTCTATTTTTAATCAGAAGGTGTCATAAAAGCAGAATACTTATCCCACGGTGTCCAGGCATGCAGCGATAATGCTGAAAACCAGAGAAGTCTTCACCTTTTGCAGTTAGTTCAAGGGTGAGCGTGTTGCAACTGACATGCACACGCACCTTTGCCTGTGTTTTTTTATAGAACTTGAGACATTACAGTTTAAAAAAAAAAAAAAAAGCGTCTGGCTTCCCTTGAAAACACCAGGTGGGAATTCCTGCCAGGCAACTCCAGAGTGGGGCTGAGTGTCCCCGACTGCAGATATGAGCAGTCCAGTCTCGCAGGCCCACCACTCACACAGGGAACTGGGGTCCACACAAGCCCACTCACTTCACTTGGATTCTTCATCTGCACCCTGCATGTCCCTGAGTTCGGCACTGTCGCCACCACAGCCGGAGGCATGCCGGCGTGTCACCTTAGCGGAGGATTTCCTGCTGTGTTCTCCTACTGTGCTTCCGAGGCCCTAAGCTGGTGCACAATAGCCACCCTACCCTGACATGAATGAGTGTTCCTGTTTTAAGTTTGGCAAACATACACACGTGCACACATTCACACACTCACATGTATTTTTCCTTTTCCAGTCCCAGAATGTAATTTTCAGGTAAAGTTTTATTGGTCCTAGAATATATACTTCAGATTTAAAAAGAAACAAAAAACATATGTGTATGTGTGCATGATATATGCACACATATACATGTTTATGTTTTTATATTGTAATTTATATACTGTGTATATATATGAAATATATAATATTGATCTATTTTGAAGTAAATATGTACATACATGCACATGTTTTTGTTTGTTCAATCTGAAGAGTGTTTCCTTGGACCAAAAACATTTGAAACTATCTAGCCCAACTCTTTCATTTTTAAGATGAGGAAATCCAATCCAAGAGGTAGAACGAGTCAACCTGAGTTGGTTACTTCGTCAAAGGCAGAATCAGAAGAGATGTCACTGGCCAGTGTCTCCTGGGACATCCCTGCTGTCTAGGCAGGGTGGCACAGACTCCTCGTGGACTATGCTCTGCTGGGCTCTGAGTAAGAGTGGCAATACAGCAGCGTGGCATCATCTGGGTACCACGCTAAGCAGGGGTCAGAGATGATCAGCACAGAAATGGGCTTCTTGCCCTTCCCAGGGCCTGCCAAGTCACGTGACTATCGCTTGCTTTGCATCTAACTCCGCCAAAAAGGGAGACAGAAATGACTGAGGCTCAGCTCCCCAATCGCTAGCAGCTCAGTACCTGGAGAAAGTGTTTCTTGTCCTCGTGCTTCTTTCTAACATCTTCAGACTGCGTTTGATAGATTTCAAGTACTCTCTGGGCTGCGTTTCTCAGAGCCGCTGCCCCTGCTTCTCTGGAGGCTTCCAGCTTCAAAAAAAAGTCATTGTGTATGTTTTGACATTTACAATAAAAAGAGTTTAAGGCAGAACAGTTCGATGGGCAATTAAAAACACAGAGGCTGCAATTGAACCATTTGCACCTTGCAGACAATGGATAGGAGAAAAGATGCTGTTATCCGGTAAGGGGAAAATGTAAAATGAGAAACTCCTATTTTGTGAGCTGTCAGGTGGGCGGATTTGCCCTGACCAGCTCCTTGCATATCTGTGCCCTGCGTTTACAAACCTCACCCTTCAAAGAATTCTACAGTACCCTATCAGCGTATTCCCTTACAAGCATTTTATCATCACTGTCCATGACAGTACCAACAGATGTATTTTCCTGAAATAGCAGTGAGACAAGATTGGAGTTGTCAAGGCAATAAAGCTAAAGTGTCATTTATCTTTCGAGGATCTAACCTAAAGAAATCATGGAGAATGGCTGCGAAGACTTACGTACCACCATATTCACTGTAGGAAGCATATATAATAAATAAAAAATACAAAGCATCCAACAATCGATTAATGAAACAAAATAGTAAGACTTTTAACTATGAATACTCTAATATTTATTAAATATGTAAAGACTTTCAAAATCTATTACAGTAAGAACACTTAACATGCGACCTACCCTCTTAACAACTTTTCAAGTGTACGATGCAGTATTAACTACAGGCCCCCCTGTCGTACAGCAGATCTCTAGAACTTACTCATCTTGCACCACTGAAACTTCAGACCTGTTGAGCTTTTGTAAGATGTTTTTTAATAATGAAAGGAGGCTCCAAAATAAAACAGTGACATTTAATTTATACATGTCAAAATGCTCCTCTATGTATGTGAGCATATGTGTAGATCTAGGGTTGTATGTGGCTGTCTGCTTTCGCGGGTCCACGAATCTATCTTATTGGCTCAAAAGTTCAAAATATGAAATTGAAATTTCTCCTTATGGTCATACCTTGATCTTCAATACTTCATTCTCTTTGTTCATTTCTAAGAGCTGCAGGTCCTTTCCTTTCATTCTTTCCATGAGCAGATGCAGACTGCAACAGGAGGGATCCATTTCAGACTCACAGCCATTTCGAACGGTTCCACAGTGCTGAAATGAGCACACATGAAAATCACAGAGCTGACTTGTCCTTTCTTCTACAAACTTTGATACCAATGATTGTCACTCTGTTTTACACACATCAAGGAAGGTTTAGGTGGCAGAAATAAAACACATCTCCTGAATCTCAAATATCAATGGGAATTCTAAACGAAGCCAGTGGCCTCTATATTTGCTCAAATTTGAATAGATTTTTATATTTGAAAGAGGGAGAAGTACATCTTTTATGCCTTTTACAGTCCCACAGTTTTAAATAAACCATTAAGTCCTTCTTGTAGTCCTATCTACGAGGCCAGTTTTTTTTTTTTTTTTTTTTTAACTCTAAGTTATAGACATAAATGCGTTTTGGTTACAATGCATTACAAACTAATATAATCAGACCTAATAGTTACAAAACATAATCGTCGATGTTCAATGATGCTTCGTTGTAATCACCCTTTCCAGTCACAGAGGTCAGAACTGAACATTACTGCCAGTGTTAACTCTACGTAAACTCTAGTTCACTGCAAATACACTTAGAGTATAACATAAATCTCAGCTGGAATCAAGGACAGTGCAAGTAGAAAGGAAATTTAAAGCCATTTAATTCAACCACCTCAATTTCCCAGCTATGAGAACTGAGGGACAGAGCCCAAGTTTGCATAGCAAGTGAGTGGGAGAGCTCAGGATACAAGCTCTTGATTGTTCATCCTGTGCTCTTTCTGACCTTACAAATTATTTCAAAACAGACTGAGAAATTACTATACAATTATACATACCCTACAACTATAATCACAATTTTTATTTATTAAGCATCTATAATGTGCCAGGTAATCTTTTAGATGCTTTATACACAGCCCTTTGCCAGAACACTAGAAGACACTATGTCCATTATACAGACAAGGAAATTGAGGATGAGAGTTTAACAAGCCCACGGTTATACCTAAAACAACTGCCAGAACCAGATTAGAATCCAAGTTTGTTTAACAACAAAGCCTATATCCTTTCCAGTACAATAGATGGCCTATATTAATAGAAACAATTTTTTTTTTAAATTTTAGCACTTATAAATAATATAGTCACCATAATTCTGTCAAGGTTTTTCTGTTCCAGACTCTAATGCATCCTTCTCACTCTCCATATATAGTGTAGGCACTATTTTCTTTTTTTAATTTGTTAAAGAATATTCGACAGAAAGATTTGTAGAAGGTAGATGATGGCAGTGGTAGATAACTACAAAGGTCACAGATCAGTGCTTCTCAGGCTCTAAGGTGCATATGAATCACTTGGCTATAGACCTGGTGAAGATGCAGATTCTGATTCAGGATGAGACTCTAGATGCTGCATTTCTAACAAGCTCCCTGACGATGCTGACACTGCTGAGCCTGCAGACTATACTCTGAGAGTAGCGGTATGACAGAGTGAAATGCTCAGCCTCTCTGACTTTACCTCGTTCAAGTCTACTTTGTTCCCATGTCCATCAGGTTAATAGCTTCTTGCATACAGATATGCTAATCATTAGAGGAATTTTGCTTGCAGCTTGAATTTTACAAAAACAGCTCCTTACCAGAAGGTGCCTCTCCAGAGGAGATGAGGAAAGTATATACAAAAATGATTGTTTATCCAAGATTTGCAGGAACCTCGTGACTGGACTCATATCGACTAGAGTCAACAGTCTAAGAACAAAGAATTTTCACAATTTTCCTCTGACCCCTGCTAATGCCCAGAGTCTGTGATCATCAGTCACCTCTTGCCCCTCCCATATACCCTTCCCTTGACATAAAAGAAGACTGAACTCTGTATTTTCTGAAGATGAACTTGAGGTACCCATCTTCTCAATCAATAA